ATGCGGCTGCCCGGGGGATGCTGTCCCCTGGCTCTGACCCCAGGCACACCTCGAGGCTTCATCCCAAAAGCTCCTCCCGCAAATCCCAAAGCCCGGCGCAGGGCGGAGCACGGGCTCCGTCTCCCATCGGCGTGGGGCGGATTTGGGGGATGTGCTAACTCTTGTTGCTGTTTGCTCCTCTGCCAGTTGGTTTCTTGTTGAGACAAGATCCTTCTCAGYGCGTTCCTGGGTGGAGCAGAGCCATTGGGATGGAGCTGAGCCATCGGGATGGRGCTGGAGTCAAGGACATTCTCTGGGATGGAAGGAGACCCCTGCAGTRGATGAAACCTCCACGGAAGGACCAGCACATCAGCTCCGCAAAGCACCGGCCAGGGAAATGGAGACACCACGAAACATCCCGCAAACTCTGCTGAGTTATAGAGACCCAGCCAGGAAATGCAGCAGGCAGGATTTCCGGGAAGCAGAGCAGGTCCAGGGATGTGCCCCACGCTCAGCTCTCACCTCGGGGAGTTGCTCCTTTCCTCCAGGTTGCCCACCCTGAATTCCTTCCGTGGCTTGTCACCGCTGGACTCTCGCGTTGCGGATGATGCTGGGAGAGTTCCCGTGCTGGTCCCGGAATGCACTCCCAGGCTCTGTCCCTCCCTAAAGAATTACCCTGCAGAGATATGARCCAGGCCCAGGGCGAGGAGTCAGCCCTGAACGAGCGCTGGGTGCTGCAAGGGGATGAGGAGCACAATGAGCCCTCATTAGAGCACCAATCAGGCGTTAATGAGTGCGGTTGAGTGATGAGCAGAGCTTTTCTCTGCCGCATCCTCCAGACATTGAAACTTTAAACGGAAGAAAAACCAGTCTCTGTCTCCGGCTGTGGGCGGAGCTGCCTTATCTTATCTCTGGGGAGCCAAGCCCTGGGTGATGGGTGCCAATGCCGGGGTGAGGGYACCCGTGCCTTGCCCAGGCCGGGGACACCTCCTCCTGCAGCCCAGGCTAGTGGGGTTGGAGCCTAAAGGGCTGAGCCTTATTTAAAATGTGGAATCAGTGCTGCTGCCAGGCAGGAGCCTCCCCCAAACACCAGGTCCAGGATTTTCAGAGGGTGTTTGGCACCTGGCAAGTGGCTCCAGCTCTCTGGTCTCCACTTGGCATCACACAGGCTCAAGAGAAGCTGTCCCCATCCGTGCCCCCGAGCTCCTCAGGGCCACCTCACCCGGCCTATGGGCCACTTCACCAGTTAATTGTGAGCTCTCCAGGTGGGTATTGGGCTGACCCACGCAGTGCCTCCCTCCTTTCACCAGGATYGCCCCAGTTTGAGCCTCCCCTGCCCAGTTACAGGTGTTTGTCCATCCTACGAGTCACAGGGAACACCAGAAAAACAAGGTGGGGAAATTGCCTGTTTTTAGGAGAATGTGTTTGGATTCGATTCCCAAGGTGGGGTGGGTGGGTGTTTCTCTCCCCAAGCAGCCCCTGTGCCATGGTGGGGGCTCGAGGGGAGTTCCTGGGATTCCCTGCCTGGATCAGGGCATGGCAAAACTGCAGCCTGTGCCTACTTGGGAGCTCTGATGTGGTGTCCAGCTGGGTACCAGTGGTGGGAGGGTGCTGGGACCAGGGGTCCTGTCTCAGCTGGAACYGTTTAAGCTAAATTAAATCGGAAATGAAAGGAGGCAAGGGACTGCTGGGAGCTTATAAAGGTAAAAACTAAGGAATAAATGAGGATTATGGAAGTGCTTAACCCTTCTGAGCAGGGGAATGAGCCTGTAGCACCTGATCATGGGGTCTGAATAAAAAATGAGGATCTGAGGGTCCATAATCTCGTGTTTTCATGAATTCAGTGCACACATCACGCATGGAGAGGTGTGAGGCTGACAGCAGGTTGGCCACAGAGAGTGGCAAGGACTCCAGGCATGGGATGGGTGACACCATGGCAGTCCCTGCCCTGGGCATCTGCCAGAAGARGCTTAGCAAGACCCATTTCTTCTCAACCCACTCCTGGCCAAAGCCAGCTGTAAATCTCAACCTCTGYAGAAACCTGGGGTCTCCTCCACAGGGCAGCTGCAGTTCAGAGGGGCTGAGCACCCCCAGCCATCCCAGCATGGAACAGTTGGGATGTCTCAATCATATTTAATCACGTTTTCTGACTCCTTCATCACTGCAGAGACTTTGTTTGGGTTTCCAATACTCTGCTTATTCCTTATCACTTTTGTTTTGTGTTTTTCGCACTTCAGAGATATTTAAGGAGTCGTGTTTAGATGGCCCTGTGGCAATTGTGTCCTTGGCTGGCACTGGAAGCAAAGCATCTGCTGGGGGAGAGATGAGGAGGGAGGAAGGGACTCTGACAGGGGAGRCCACCCCATGGACCTGTTTGGTGGGTTTAAAATTTCAGGGTTGATATATCATAAAAGCATGGAAAAGGGGGGGAAATTAGGGGGAAAAAGCGCTGGTGGCTGTGAGGTGTTACCCTCATCCCTCTGGGCATGGCAGTGTTGCTGCCCCTGGATTTCTTGCTTATTGTGATTTTTCTTTTTCTTCCCCCTTTTATTTTTTTCTATTTTATTTTTTTTCAATGCAGTTGAACGTTTTCTTCAAGCCCAGCTCATGCAGCTCTGTGACCCCCTCAGATTTTCACCTTTCCTGGAAAAAATAGCTGTTAGCTGCTTCCCACGAGGARGAAAACAGGAGATGACACAACTTAATGCTCCAAGGGGGAATAGAAAATGCAGTTTGCAGCAGAGTCCCCRTTTCCCCAGTCGCAGGTGTCTGATCCTCGGGACAGCAGCACTGTGGGTGCTTCCCATTGTGCCAGGAGTTTTTAGCATGGAACCCCTGTGTGGCACCAGCAGGGCTGGGATTTCCTTGGGGGTACCTCAGCCACCAAAAATGAAAATAGCCTCAAACACTGCCCTGCTGCGATGCTGCTCCATCAGAGAAGGAACTGAGATGGAATTCTGGCTCTCAGATTAATTCCCCGTGAATGGGCCAAAGGCACATYGGAAGTTAAAGTTTCTTGCTGCCTGCACCTGAATTTCAAGTGTTTTCTCTGCCTTTGATGCATCATTGAAACCATTGGAAAAACAGGTGGAAAACTCTGCACTGGTGCTGCTCCACGGAGTGATGGATACGATGCTCCTGATTAAGATTTAATTGTGGTTGTCCTGTTAATAACAGCCTCATTCTGTGGCACACACCTGCCTCTCCATGGGAAACACTGATAATATAACTTAAAACACCAATTACACGCGATGGAAAAGCGGCAATTAAATCCACTAAGCCTTGTATAAATAATTCTTTCATTTCCCTGTAATATTTTTAATGTCATAAAGCATTCTTTTCTTCTTAAAACAAAAGCAGGTTTTTAATTTGTGTGCTCTCCCATTTATCCATGTGGGAACACCTGTGATTCGGGATGGAGAACACTCCCGCGTCTGCAGGGATTTACGGAGAGAAGGATGCATGGCCAGGGTGGGAAAACCTTGCCTCGTTGTTTTAAGTTTTCAGTGTTTAAAAAACGTGTGGATGTGGCACTTGGGRACAWGGGTCAGGGGTGGCCTTGGCAGTGCTGGGGGAACGGCTGGACTCGATGGTCTGARAGGGCTTTTCCAGCTATAAAKATKCCGTGGTTCTGTGGGGAAGGGGCTGCTAAAGCTCGGTGCCGTTCCTGCAGGTTCGTGTGCCATCAGGTCTGGTTTGAAGCACCTGATCAGAGCCAAACGAGCCGGGTGTGCCCAGGCGGGTCTGTGGATGTGCAGGTCTCCTCTGCATGCAGGGGAACGGGTCTTCCTCCCAGAGACGGGGAACAAAAGAAGCTGCAAAGGAGATAATAGCCTGTGATAGYAACTCCATTCGGGAACAAGAAACCGGGATAAAAGCGAGGCAGTTTTTAATTCCCGCGTGTGGGCTGTTCAATAGCGATGGAGGAGCTGCTGTTGGGTGGTCTGGGTGTGCCCGAGGCCGAGTGTCACCCTGCCACCATGGCCGGGTTGGGTTGGAAGGAGCTCGGGGATGATCCCCGGGCAGGGGCCGGAGCTGGCCGGGCACCTTTTGGGGGACAGACCCCGGGGCCCTCAGTGCCCCCTCCTGCGCCTCAGCCTGCGGGGGCAGGGGGTGCCGGGGTGCGTGGGACGGGACGGGGCCGCGGCCGCGCTTCCTCCGATTGTTCTTCTCGCCGGAGCGGGGCGGGGGCAGCGGGACAC